ACACACACACACACACACTCCAGTGGGTACAGTATTGGCCTGATCTGCACTGAAACCTTTGTGGCTTACCACAGTTTTTAAATAAGAAGTTCTACTAAACAACACACACACACAAAAAACACACACAATATACTCTCACACTCACACAAACTGGTTTGTGGTTGTATGTGTGTGTCTGTGTGTTAATCCTCGTGTCCTGCTGTCCTGAGTCGGACTGATTGTTACTCACTGCAGCTGAGCGTGGCGTCGGTGTGGGCCAGAGCGGAGGGGATGGTCCAGTGGCTGTTGTCCCAGTCGACCACGTTTCCCACCGTGTCGCAGGTTAGTGCCCGCAGCTGCAGCTCCGTCATGGCGTAATCCCACAGCCGCAGGTTGTAGATGTACCCGTCAAAACTGTGCTGCCCTGAACACAAACACATTTATCCACACGAGGTTACAGAGGTAAACTGTTGTGTCACGTTCACACACCGACTCCGAAGGTTTGGTCGTGAGACTTGAACTAGAGACGAGAGAATTTCTCAGCTCCTTGATCAGAAGATGAAATTTTCCTTTTTCCTGAAGCTTGTTAGGATGAACCCACTGTTTTCTTTTTAAAGAAGTGAGAGGAAACAAAATCATCCTGACTGCTGCACTTCATCAAAACCACAGAATAAAGCACATCGTACTCAGTGTGCAACCATTCTGTGCGTAACCATTTTCATCGGATGACAGACTTGGTATGACCCTGACTTTGTTGTTTCTTCACAGAAGAACCAGCATCAGAGTTTTCTGGGATTCATGACGAAGTTGACTGAGATCTAAAAACCTAGACTCACCTCCCAACCGGAACTGTCCACCGGCCGGCACGGTGTGACCACTGGAGGAGGTACAGGTCCTGGTTAAGTAGTTTCCGTCGAAGTAAACCGCCACCAAGCCGCTCAATGACGTCCAGACCATGCAGAAAGACTTCATGGAGGAAGTGAAGTCGGAGGAGGAGAGGACGGAGTTAATGGAGCAGGACACTCCGTCCACGATCAACGTCATGCCGGCCTGACTGGAGCCCAGACTCAGCCTCACGTTACTGCTGCTGTCAAAGTAGGTGAAGAGCCACTCTCTCTGTTCAGGAGCCGTGAGAAGAGAGTTCCCGCATTAGAGTTCATGGTTTCAACTTAAGAGCGAGGATGAATACATTACAGCACCTCACACCTGGACTTAAAACACTGGTGTCCTGTACAGAACTGGTTTTAAAATATTACTCCTTGGTTACAAAGCTCTGGATGGTCTGAAATATATTTCTGACATGCTAACTGGCTACAGCTCAATCAGACCTCTCAGAATCAGAGAAATAAACATTTGTCATTTCAGGATTTACTTTGTTCTGGACTCAAACTTCCTGAACCAATTTGTGTGATACCTGTTTCTGGGTGTTGCGTTCCACCTCAAAGCACAGCGTCAGGTGACTGAGTGCCGGCAACGACACAGTGTTGGCGACCATGGTGACCTGACCGTTCCCCCCGGATATCTTGACCTTCTGGTTCCTCAGAGCCACGGCAACTAGAGAGGAGAGATGGAAGAAAAAAGGAAAAGAGGAGGAGAGAGACAGGAAAGAGGAGAAGAAAAGAAATAGATGAAGTAAATGCACTCAAAAAGAAAAGGAAAAGTTAGGAAGGAAAGAAAGAGAGAGAGAATCACAAATCTCGCAAAAACTTGATTTCTTACCTCAGATTATATATAACTTTAAAAAACGTTCAACATTGAATCATGAAACAATATGAATCAATCAGAGCTTTTGCTAAAGATGATACATCACACACACCATCATCAAAACACCAGAACCAGGAACCAAAGTCAGATCAACAACGTTTTCATTTGGTGTATGAGCTACACAACAAGTTAACACACACAACGTCCACTTGGAAAGACGAGGAGGTTCCAGATGTTTTGGTGATGAGGGCCGACGCCGTGTGGACGAGCTGTAAACAACAACACTGATCTTTACACAGTTTAGACGCCATGTCCCGCCTCCCGCTGCTCTACAGGCTCCACCCCTCGCCTGAATGTTCCTGTTGTTGTGAACGAGTCGACAATCTGCTGCTTCACGCACACTGACTACACATGTCCACACAACATGTCCACACAACATGTCTACACAACATGTCCACACAACATGTCCACACAACATGTCCACACAACATGACTACACAACATGTCCACACAACACGTCTACACAACATGTCCACACAACATGTCTACACAACATGTCCACACAACATGTCCACACAACATGTCCAGAGATGTTTTACAGAGTTCATGTGATCTAATGATTCATGTGTTTGTGTCATGTGACTTCCGTCTCCACCACCTGTGAACTTAACAACAGTTGTTGCTGTAATAAAAATATTGATCAGTGGAGCTTTGATGTTTTTATATTCTCTGTTGATCAAATCCCTTTGATCTTTTGAAGCAATAACAAACCCTGTGAGATCAAATGGAAAAAAACCTTTTTGTTTGTTTTCACAAATAAACAAACTGAGATCCTGTAAACGAATAAACGAATAAACGAATAAAATGAATAAACTGAATAATTTTCATTTTTCTTACTGCTCCAAATCTCAACAGGTAAAGTCTGTCAGATTCCCAGTGAGAGCTGCTAACAGTGCTAACAGATCCTGGACCTACCGTGTCGGAAGCTAACACTGAACCCCCTCTTCTGGATGCTGAAGTCGGAGGTAAAAGACAGCTCCATCACGTTCCCCGTCGAGTTCAGCGTCAGCCCGTTAGCTGTCAGGCCGCAGAACTTTACACCAGTGTTTCCCGTGTTCACCACAACATGGTCATAGATGCAGCCGGGTGCCTCCTCCATTTCAAAGTCCAGGAAGGAGAGCTGGATGATGAAGCCGGCGGGGGCCTGCATGATCCACTTACAGGCCTGTGTATTGGGGTATTTCTGGGGGTAGCAGGGCGACGTGATCCCCCCCTGGGCCTCAGTCAGGTTCAGGTTACAGTTTGTGGAGCTGCAGCCCAACACTGGAGGTGATGGTAGGACGACACATTCATGAACTTTCAGAAAGAAACAACCTCTACTGACGCTGTTAAAGAAGTGTAATATCCCTCAGGGGGCAGGATGCTAGTAGACAAGGACGCAAGGGAACAGGACGAAAGAACACAAGAGGTTAGGAGCCACAAAAGAGGTAGGAGACAAGAAAAGGGTCAATAATTACAACCGATAGGAGTCAGGAGGACAGTTGGTACGTGGAACAAAAACCGTTGAGTTGTCAGTAAAGGGCATCCCTGTCGATTTCTTGGGATCAAGGAGTCAAGGAGGACAAGAGGATGAAGACGAAGTTTTCAAGAAGGTTACAAGATTCAAGGGACAAAACCACAGTTCAGAGAAGATTGCGATCATAGTCGGGAGTCAAAACAAAGATGAGACGGGACAAGACAAATCGTGCAGTTAAATAAAGGTTTAGATCAATCAATCAATCAGTGAGTGCAAACTGATTGAATTAGAGTTTCCACAGAGCGTTAAGTCATCTGACACATTCCCACTTTGAAGGTTTAGATTTGACGACTAGAAGAAGAAACCACACACATGCAGAATCATGTTGAAGTTTGATTTGGAAAAAGATTCTGTGAAACTGTGAAACATGAGCATTCAAACATGTTTAAACTCGCTGTGTGGAAGGTTCCGATTCTCTCAATGTGACGAACCACGTGATCGGAGACACTGACCCGATGCCACCGATCGAGTCACGTACGTTAATCAAATTTTCACTTTAACGATGGAAACGTGTGCGACTTCATAACTTTCAACAACAGCTGGGAAGCCGAGCCGTCCCTCACAAAACAGAAATAATAAGACGAGGTCTGAAGTGGAAAGAATGGTTCGTCTCTCTTGCTCGGGCCAACAATGGCCTCCGTTGATCTCAGGCTCTGCCCTCGCCACCGCCAAAACCACAGCGAACGCACTGGAAACGTTTCAAACATCAGTGTGTGTGTCTGTGTGTGTTTATGTGTGTATGTGTGTGTGCTAACCCTAACGGACTGGTGTCACTTTCGTCAGCAACATCTTGCTTCATATTCACCCACGTCAGCACATTGACGCTCGCTGCATTGTTCATGGACAAGTAAACAAAAAGCAACTGAAGTGACTGTGTCTCTCTTATTTGATTTATTTGTCTCAAAAAAATTTAATCTAATCGACTTCACACTCATTGTGTGTCGTTAATTTTGATTTCAACATGTCTTCTTCTCGGTCCTCAGATGTTATTGAGTTAAACCCCTTAATAATATGATTATTTTAGATTGAGAAACACAAACACACACACACACACACACACACACACACACATTGGAGTGTTCCACCTCTCTCTTGGGGGGTGTTGACTTCTCTCGATCCACCCCTCCATCTCTGCTGATTGTAGGGTAGGTAGCTTTGTTTCTCTGTGTGTGTGTGTGTGTGTGTGTGTGTGTGTGTGTGTGTGTGTGTGTGTGTTTAGCAGCCACACAATCCGTCTCCTAAAAAGCCTGAACGCTGCCTCTCAAGTTTCTGCAGCACAGCCTCACGCTTGTCTTCTTTCTGTGGTTGGTTCTCTAGAAGCTTTGAACCTTTGACCTGACGAACCGACAGAAAGACGTGTGACCGGCGGCTGCTCCGGACGAAACATGGACGATGTTTGTCATGAACTGTTCAGATCTGTTTTGTTAACGGATGATGGTCAGAATCGATGCAGCAGATCTAGAGATTTCATCTTGTTTTTACAAACATGAATTCATGTTGCACCCACAATGCAATGCAGCTGTGGTTAGCTGTGTTAAGAAGCAGCTGATGCAGCAGAGGCCTGAACTCCACACCAAACAGTGACATCATCACAAGATGCAGGTTGTGAAGTCAAAACGTTTCAACTTTGACTTTGATGAGCTTTGATCTTTGACCTTCCTGTAAAGGATAATGAATTCTCATCCTCACGTCTCCTCACACCTCCTCACGTCTCCTCACACCTCCTCACGTCTCCTCACGTCTCCTAATGCCTCCTCACGTCTCCTCACACCTCCCCACACATCCTCACATCCCCTCATGCATCCCAACACCTCCTCACAGGTGAGAAATGTTGCTGCCGTCATTTGTCGTCACCAGAGTCGGTTAAAATAAAGTCATAATATTTTACTATTGCTACATCTAAGACGTTATGTAGCTGTTCTCCACTAGGTGGCCTTGCAGTCATCAGTCTATAATCCGACTGTAGCTGGTGATAAAAAACACCTGACAGGTGGGAGCCAATCAGAGAGAGGTATCCCAGCAGAGAGGAAGAGGTGGATGCAAATGTGACTGTTCTGATAATGACGAGTGGGAAATAACAGGAGAGGAAGGTTTGTGAGATTAGAGGAAAAACACCAGGCTGTCGTCACGGAGACAGAGACGACCTGTCGCTCAGTGCCGAACATCATGTGATCGATCACAGAGCTGGACACAATTTACTGAATGAACATCGTCACAGCTGGAGTCCAGTTTAATAAACAGGGGATTGTTTTAAAAATAAAACATTTTAAACTTTTCAGTTCAGTCTGAACTAAAGGTGTGAAAGGTTCTTCGGACGACTAGCTCGACCAAAAGAGAAAGAAATCATCCTAACTGTGATGAAGCCAACGCATCGCGATCATCGTGCTGCCGGAGAACAGATCAAACTCTCTGCTGCTGCTTTGTTGTGCGTCGGTGTGAAACCACAACTGTGACCCAGAGGCTCCGCTGTGTGTCAGTAAGAGTTGATTAACTGTTTACCCAGCTCTCATTTTTATCTGGTCGATAAAATAAATAAATTCAATTCCATTCAATTTGACTCGGCTTGGATTTCTGCCGCAATTCAATTATCGCACGCAAACTGATATTTATACCAGACAGGAAGCACTGATCACCGAGCTGTCGGTAAAATATTAACGACTCAAATGAATTCATTAACAGAGACAAGTCTTTCATAGACGGTGTGACAGGCCGCCGCCCCCTCACTGCCAGAACTCACCAGCCATCTAAACCTGCAAGAGTCTGAGCAACACACAGACACACACACACACACACGCACACACACACACACACACACACACACACACACACACACACACAGACACAGACAGTGTGTGTGTGCGTGTGTGTGCGTGTGTGTGTGTGTGTGTGTGTGTGTGTGTGTGTCTGTGTGTGAAACAGAAACCGTGACGCTCTCCTAACACGACCATGGTTCTTAATCTTGTATAATTCCAGCCTCCACTAAATCACAGCCTCCTCTCACAGTAATTTCAGTCTCTGAGGAGCATTAATAAAACTCAATTAGCGTTTCAAATATTAATTTTGAGCCACGTTGTTATTTGAATCCTCAGGAGCGATGAGTTTTAAATATTCACTCTGCACTTTCAGGCTTTTCTTTAGTTCGAGTCCTCAGAACAAAATTGAAAAAGTGAAAATGAATAAAATCATGAATCCACGCTGGTTCTCACAGTGTTCATGTGTTTCTACTGAAGGACTGTTTCACCACCTCCACTGATGGAGGGTTTCTCGTCAGCAGTTATATTTGTTTGAGTGTTGATAATAATTAAGAATGAATTCAGACTCATTCACGTTCTAAGAGTGCAAAGCTCAAAACATTCTTCTAGAACATGTAACAAACATGTAATTCAGCAAACATACTAAAAATACCCTCTCAGCCTTTTCCAGGCACTAATCCTGTAGATTAGTTGGCTTCCATCAACCTGCCCTTCTCTGTTTTCACCTCTCCGTCCTTTCTAGCGTTTCTCACATTCTTTTACTTGCATTCCTCTCTCCTCCCTCTTTCATTACTCTCTCCTTCAGCCCTTTGTTGTCATCTGTCTACTGCTTTCTTTCTCAATCCCTTCAGTCCCTTCCTTTGCTTCCTGCTCTCTGCCGGCTGATTGCAGTTTTATCTGCACGCTGGACACTAACAAATGAAACCGCCTCCTAAGAATATCTCCGTCAGCAGAAAAGAAATCGGATCCAGGCTTTGTGAAAATTAAACCTCGTGTCAGAAGATCTTTTTTGTTGTTTCACAGTTTTTATTGTTTTTTCAATAAATTCTCT